TGGATGAGCTAGATGAACTGAAGAAGAAGAAAAGGCGTACGGAGGAGGGCATCAAGGCGCTTGAGCAAGCAGCAGATGAATATGCAGAAGCAATGGAGAGAAAGAGGGATTTGAAAATTATCGCAAAGTTAAATAATTATTATCGTTGAAAAGTTCAACGCCATGAGGCGATCTTTGAAATCAAAGCAACAGGAGCTAGACACTCTTGAACTGAACATTAAAGAAAAAGTTGATGAAATAGCTGCCAGTTGAATGTTATGGTAGTGGTGTTGAATCGTGTTCTGAACTGTATTGACATTATCATGTGCAATATTGAGTGCATTACTCAATATTTGTTGTGATTTGACACTGTTGAATTCATAATAATAAAAGTGTGGGCTTAATTTCCAGATTTGTGTCATTTTTGATCCTCTGTGTCTGCCCGCTCTATGCATTTACACGTTTGCTACGTAGTTATCAACTTTAGGAGATGACAGAATATGCACGGTTACTCTTTCAGTCATGCTAAGCCTGTCGTATACGACTCCTGGAAAATTAAACTGATGGTCATAGAGAGTCCTGGAAAAGTCCTTGAATTTTTTTTTTCTCGATATCGGTACGCACCCTGTTAAACTGATTTCCGCTATTTTCCTACAATTTTTCTTCCTTCAAAAAGTGATCACCACACTGGGCATTTAAACCTCAGGTTTAATGTATTTTTCTTTTCTGTACAAATGAATGACATATTTATCATTTATTTTGGCTGTAATTTGCTACCTCGTCATTTTGCAAGATTTATAATTTTAATTTATTTCTTCTACAGTATACATTAACCCGATCCTGAAACTGGCCGGCCTTACGTTTATCTACGTCACGCATTCGTCACGTGTTCTGTCAACCATCAACCTTCAACTTCTCTTATATACCGCATTCTGAACTTTGAGATTCGGCTCTTTTCGACTAAATATATTCTTCATTGCTATGAAGCTTAATCATTCGAACTCGCTCAAGATTTTGTTTGATAAATTAAAATAGAAGCTTCCTTGATTATTTCTTTAATTAACTCCCTGTCGATTGTGAATACCTCACAGCATCATAACTTATCGTCCATGGATTATTGTTCTTACATAATTATTGTCGAAGTAACAGCTGCGTTTTCATTTCTTGGTGAGCAATATTTTTTATTCAAACTGCTTAGCAATTGCATAAGTTATATATTTTACTTTTATTCAAAATGTAACGTTTGTGCGCTGACTAAACTCATTTTATAGTTCGTGTGTAGTTCAAGTTCATGTTTCAAGTTGGAGCTCAAGTTCTGCAGTTTGCTAAAAAGTTACAGTTTGCAATGGGAAACCTTGAGTGGAATTCACCGACAGTCGTTATTTCCTGCTAATCCATCAAGCCATTAGAATGGTAGCAGCAGCTCAAAATCTTAACGCAGTGGGAAACAAGAATAGCAAATTGTTATCAATTATTCAAGACTGAATTCGAGGCAAGACGTAGAAGCTGTTAACAGCCCCAGACTTTAACTATAACGGCTGGCATGGAGTACACAGTATACACGGTGCAAATACACCGCTACGGCCAACAAAGTGTAACGTTCAAGTTTACTTTTCATGGTATTAAAAAAAATCTGAAGAATTCAATTCTTATTATTTTGACGATTGCAGCGTATATTGTGCGTGCAGCCATTTGGTAACAATTTTTGCACTCGAACGACGTAGTGAAATAATCCCCTCTCATTAACCTAATCAAGACGGGAAAATATTGACATAAAATTTAGGCGAATCAACACCCAACCCTATTTATTACAGAACCTGCACTGCCATAATTGCTAAATATATTTTAAATCAAACATTCAGTAGAAAAGAATAAAAATTCCGAACAGAATTTCATCCATTAACCCTGTTCTCAGTTATCAAACTAAAACAATTGATACAATTTCATAGATTAATTTAAGAGTTAATTCCCATTGTTAGAGGAATTTCCAATGAATTATATTACTCAATTTTGTGATATCGAAGTCATTTCTCTTCAGCATGACAGTAATAATTGTGAATTATTCAAATTTGTGTAAATCTTGTGAAACAATTGATGTCTCCAAGGCAACGTACATTTCCTATTCTAATACAAAGAGCAAAGGCGAAGCACTGGCTGCAATGCATTATGACGATGGAAGCACTTAATTGGAACGGTGGTAGGGAAAGTCGAAGTAAGAGTAGGAAAAAGCAAAGTGCCCTAACAAAATTCGCGGTATGCTTCAGCCTCCGCCCCAGAGTTGCTATGTTCGCGTAAGAGTTATTCTGGGTCAGTTGGCCAACTGATCGCAATCAGCGACTAGTCAGAACCTCCTTGCCGACTTTATAGTCTGAGAGTAGGGCAAGAGTTGGCAGAATAAGTACCAGGCGCTTGTAGCTGTCTGATTCGGGGACCGAAAAGCGGACACAGGGATGCTGGTGGACTATGCTCCCCGAGTCCAAGGCGTTCCTTAATCCAGAGCCGCCCTCGGCTCTAATTTTTGTTAGGGTGATAGCAAAAATATTAATTGGAGTTACGGGTTACTAGGTTATTTCCCTTTCAATGATTCAATGGTGAACAGACCAAAGTAAATAATAAGGTGCTCATTAAAAATCGAGGATTTCAAACGATATATCTCGAAATCAAGTGCTAAAATGGCTCAATATCTCAAATGGACTAGAAAATTCAAGATTATTTAATTAGGCAGCGGTATATAAATGAAATGTGTAGATGCTATAGCGAAGAGTTTGGAAGGATTTTCCGTCAAATCGAGGAAACTTGCATTTTAATTTAAATAAAAAACTAAAGTTCTCTTCTTACGTGTGAAGCTAAGAACTTTAGAAGTTCAGAACACGACGAAAAAAACAGAAGGATTAAAATCAAAAAGAACTGAAATGGCATATCTTTACTTGTAGTAAAAAAAAAGCTTGTACAAAAATAAAACTAAGAAGCACGAAAGACTTAGAGGCTATTTTCAATTATACACGAAGATGAGTGCCGTACATGCATAGCAAGGTGAATATTACGGATGATGGAGAAACACATGAAAAGATCATCATCACAAAAGGTGTTTGCATATCTGAGTAATAATTGCCTGAAAATAATTGTGATGAAGAAGCCTTCACACTTCAACGTAAACATAATATTAGTTTCGAATGAACGACGAGAAAGACCTGGGCAATGAAATAGAAAGACAAACTGAGACACGAGAAAATTTGAAAGTGATCTAATTCAGGTAAATCAATAATATCATACCTTGAGACGCAAGATTGAGAGACAAGTAAGCACGATTTAGGAAACATTAAAAGAAACTACATTAATTCTAATGCCTGGAAAATAAAATCAGAGCTCGGGTGAGACTAAAATAATATTCAAATGAATCCAAATAAAAGGCAAAATACAGTCAGAACTACGCTAAGTCTAACTTAATTATTGAAAACGAAAAACACTGGTCAACGTTTGCGGCACAGTGGATAACGCTCCTCAAAAACGTTTAACTTAACTCCTGTGATAAAAACCAGATGAGCATATTTTACTGCCTTTTTAAGATGAAACATCAAATGTTTCAAATCTTGGCATTTCAGCCTCTTTAAGAGCCGAAATTATCCAACATATCAGTGATAGCGTGTTTTTTCGTGATGTACCCAATTAGCTTATTGACGTTGCACATTTTTGGCACAAAATTATTTTTGTGGCAGTTACACAAGTAATCGAATACCTTCTACTGAGGAATTTTATTTCTCTGGGAATGATATTATAGCGTAGATCATTTTAGGCTCGGGTATAAAAGTTAATACGGTGACTCGCCATTTCCATCACTGCCATCTTTAGCTCATAGGTCATGCGTGCTTTGTGATATGAGTTTGTTAGAAGTTGTGATCTTCTAAATTTGGTAAAGTTGTGCGAGGCTGTAAGTTTGAGCTATGGGATGATTTGGACGAGGCATGTTCCGAACTGGGTTGAAATTTAACCTCGAAAGGTGAAATTAGTCATCCAAATTCGTCGTTGTTGTTGCTGATCTGTGTGCCGAATGTGTTCATTTTTTGAACTAAAGTAAACAGAGGTCTGTTCCTAAGACTTGGTCATTTGAAATTAAAAAGACCCAAGCACGAAAGATGTTGAAAATTACATAGATTTCTAAAATACTTTCTCTTTTAAAAGTGCTTAATCAATTGAATTTTTATAGTTAGTCTCCATGATTAACAGGCGGAAAATCAATCATTCTGTCCTTCTTATGCAGTTGCTCATTGCTTGATATGTTTTAAAAAGATTTATAGCGAGTGTGCGTTCGCCTGGCAATGTTGTAGGTATCCCGAGTACCTACGAACAGTTTGCCGCTCCGACAATACTTGCTGCAGTGAAATGCCCTCTATAGCTCACTGTAGAGCCGCATTTCACGTCCAGACGTAGGCAGTTCTTTTTCTCTTTGCTATCATAGCTCATTGGTTCATTTGTATCGATTGATGTCAAGCTACTCTTTTAGATGCGCAATTATGAAATGTTCAAATGATGTTTGTCTACGCATCACGAATTTACAATGTTTCCAATTTCGCTCACCCATGAGGGCTCCATGCTTACAGCGGGAAACTCTTCGGTTCCGAGCTTTTTCAATTAAATGAGTTCCGAGCCTGTTAAATTATGTGGGTTCCTATCAATCAATCAAAGTGTTCGTGTGAAAGGAAAGAGATATTGGGATGAATAGAATGAAAAGATACCATAAAAAGTCATTTTGTGGATTTATAGTGTAAATTTCAAACGATTTAAAACATTAATTTGATATGCTTCTAACTCAGAAACTTTTTCCTTGCATCACTCCATGGGCTCCAGACTTCTCTACAATCACGAAAATATTTAGAACGCGCCCGTTGTTTGTGTGCTATTCTAAATTACGTCACCTTAAACTCTTCATATTTAATTTGCTGCTATTGAATTCATATCAATATTTGCCGTATTAGATATTTATAATGCTTGCTAAAATCTCATTTATAGGCTAAGCTTACTGGTGGAGTCGTTCGGTTGCCGTGTATGTAGAGCTCCTTTGTATTGTTGAGCTAGGAATATCTCATTAAATGTGGCCTCCTCTTGTGTTTCATTGCCACACTTGATACGTTCATTAATAATCAAGGTAATTATAGATGGTATGTGAACGTGTGTCGCTTCCTGAGTTTGTGCTCTTTATTTTTGCTTAGAATGCCACGATCATTTATTCCACCTGAACTTGACTTGAACGAATAATTATTAACAAAGAAGCCTTAATCATTTCACTTACTCGACGCTAATTTAATAAAAGTGATGAAAACGCATCGTTTACTCTATCAATTTAGTTTAAACAAAGAACTCGATATTAACTGCTTGAAAATTTCTAAAATGTAGTTGCCATTAAACGTTCTTCCTACTTGCAACATGCGCCAGATTATTTAAGTTACAGTTATATTTCAGTTTCAATTATAATCTAATAATTTTCTTCTGAGATGCTAGCTATCATCTCAAAAGCCATAAGTTTCAACGAGTGCATGAGAGCCATCAGGATAGAACTTAATTCCTCTTCTCACTCGCAGTTCATAGCTGCGAGCCACACTCGTGTTTGCTAGTCGTTACCTTCTAACGCCGTACGAGTGCTTTCTACGTACAAGTTAATAATTTAAATAGAGTTTTTCACGAGATTATCTTTTTATCTTTGTCAGCTAATTTATTTTGCTCATTCTCCCAATCCTCGCATTCACTCCGTCTCATCATGAGAAAAGTCATGAAAGTTACATGATTTCATTCTTTAGCTATATTTAAAAATATCTCCTTCAATTAACTTATTCTGCTCATAGACAAGCAAATATTTACTTCAGAATCACATTTTCTTCTTGTCAGCCAGTGTTTTCTCGAGTTCGTCTACGCGTTTAGACAACATCGTTCGCTTACGTAGGCTTGCTTCCAGTCGAGCTCTCGCCGCCGCCACTGCCTTACTTTCTTTCTTGGCTTTCACTTCTCCATTATCTATTCCATCCTCAGTTTCTTCATCTTGAATATGTCCTGCACATCCCTCTGTTGTTTGCTCTTGGGAAATTAGGTTTATTTGGTCATTATGACCGACGATGGCATGTACAGGGTTCGTATTCTCAGGCTCATCTCCGACGATCAGGAGAGGACTGCTGCTTCGCGGGCCTCCCACGTCAATGTCGTCCTTGATTTCCAAATCTTCTGTGTTATTACAACTCAACCAAGCCCGATTTCGATCAATTTTTTGACGAAGGTTCTCGATCTCTTGCTCGATGCGATCAATTTCTTCGCAGTTCTCCGGTGAAATGGAAAAATTAGTCCCATTTGTTGCCGGATTTTCCGACGAAAGCTTCATTAATGCGGAGAGATTTTCTTCTTCCTGTGAAATTAATGATTTGATGTATGTGGCATGATAAAAATATCAGGATTTTTGTCAACTGAATTGAACTACGCAATTTCAACAATCGATGTAAACTTTGAAATTTTCTCTTTCCCACTTCGTACATGAGTTTTATTTATTCACAAGCTTTATTGTTAACTATTAATCTTCCAAAAATATTCATAGAAATCGCAGAGCACGAGCAATGTCATCTTCTGAACTAACTAGTTGATGTCAACGTCGTTAATAAGTAACGTTAATAAGTAATGTTAATAATTATCGTTAATAATTAACGTTAAAAATTATCAAAGACGATTACCAAATTAATGTTAGCAATATACGTCAATAGTTAAGTAACGCCACCGCGCAGGCCCCACCTTGACCACTCGCAGCTTCACGGCACGACATCGCTCGTTGACGCTCTTGGTGCTGCACGACAGCGTCGCTGGCGCAGGCACGGCTGCACGGCGCTCCTTCATTGCACGCACTTTGTCTTCCTCATCGCGCACCTTCACGACCATGTAATAATAATAATAGCGGTTTCAGCGTCTATTAGGCCGTAGGCCTGTCGCTGATTCTTAACATCACAGAACATTCACAGCATTTTACGGTCTCGAATTCGCAACTCACTGCTCCAATTCTGCTGTGCTTAACCGCCCGGCCTCCTTGCTGATTCTGACCAGAAACTGGCGCACAGAGCTGGGATCGAACCCGCGCCTCTCTGCGCCAATCTTGGTACTCTGGACTGTAACCACTGGGCCATGTATGAGCTGATATGCCGTGTGCAGGTCGTCATATTGTTCAATATGGTCTCAAGTCTCGGGCATTTGGCAGGGTGGCCCAGTGGTTACAGTCCAGAGTACCAAGATTGGCGCAGAGAGGCGCGGGTTCGATCCCAGCTCTGTGCGCCAGTTTCTGGTCAGAATCAGCAAGGAGGCCGGGCGGTTAAGCACAGCAGAATTGTAGCAGTGAGTTGCGAGTTCAAGGCCGCAAAATGCTGTGAATGTTCTGCGATGTTAAGAATCGGCGACAGGCCTACGGTCTAATAAACGCTGAAACCGCTATTATTATTATAATTTTTTTTACTATTATTATTATTTAAATATGCACTAATAAAAATTTCTGTATCAGCAATCAAGTTTCTCAAAAAGTCACTATACCTACGGAAATTCTGGTCGCCAATACTCGAAATATTAAAAAATACACCAATAGAAATTTCTGAAAGAAATGCGTTTAAAATATTACGATACAAAGTGTAAAAATTTGAAATAACTGATAATATCTGGAAAGGAAACTAGATATTTACTCGTATACTGCTTCATTAGGAAGTCATTCATCGTTGCTATATCTTTATTAACATTAGTAGAAGTAAAATCTTTGAAATTTAGAAGAATATTTTACGCCCCTTATACTTTGCTCTCAATTCTTCTGAAAACTTTATAATTACATAGATATTTTTCATCACGCATCATCTATTAGTCCAATCGCCACTTTACAACGAGCGTCATCTAAATCAAACCAAAAACAAACACTATAATTTGCAAAGAAATTAATTCTAATAATAAAAAAGTTAAAGCACGATGTTAAGTTTGTTATTTCAATTATCAGCTGAATTACCTGTCTGGACAGGACGCTCTCCATGCCGTCCGAGCGCCTGTCTGAGCACCACGCCTCCCACTGCCTCCGTCTCGCCGCCGTCTGTTCTGTCAACGCACGCGTCCCTGTCTGACGTGCTGCTAGGGCGCGTTCTGTCGCGCGTTCCTGTCATGAATGCAGCTTATGATCATGAAAATGAAATTAATTTCATATTAAATGATTGACATGTGTTTGATATTGTTGCATTTGCGTGACCGCTCGGTTCATTTGCAATCTGACTATGGTTAGAATCGTTTAGCTTTACTTTACTGTATGAAGGCGTGTATAATTAACGTTACATCCTGTGTAATATAAGCATTAAGACCACCAGCTCCTCTCACGAGATCCTTACAAGCTCCTCTCTACCCTCCCTCCTCCCTACCCTCCTCCTCTCTACCCTCCTCCCTACCCTCCCTCCTCCTCTCCTCCCTACCCTCCCTACCCTCTCACACCCCCTCCCCCCACCTCCTGCAGGAGGGGCGCCAGAGCCTCCCTCGCCCTGGTCTGCAGGGCGGCCGCCTGCTGCACGTGCCAGGACCGCGTCAGCTGCAACAGGTGACTGCAGGCCAGCTCCTTCTCCAACTTAAATATACAATTTCAATAACTTCTCAATATATGCGTTTTAATAAATTTTTTACATCGTAAGTGAGGAGCAAACTTTTAATCTACATTTTTCCGGTGAAGAATAATGCAATGTCATAATTTAATCTTTATGAAACGCTCTCAAAATTACAAGTTACATTTGTATAAAGAAATGGTGATTAAATTTGCATTGCGGTAATTTCAAAGTCATGTGAATGGTAACAATGACAATTGTCATTTCAAAATAAAAACTGTTAAGCATTAATGAAGCACTTTAATGTGCAGCTTGTGCGGTCAATAAATTCAGCGGTGTAGCTGGTAATACATTTTCCGTATCTCTTTAACTAGGAAGTTACTCACTTTTTCACGCTTTTGGTTTAGAGCTGCAGTTTTGGCTCGAAGAGTTGCCAATTCTGTGAGCAATGGCCTGTATATTGAGCGGGAAAACAGTGACACAATGTCGATAATATCACATAGTTTTTTTATGTTCAACAATCTAATGTAATTTCAGCATGAACAAACATTATATTTTACATTTTTTTCAAGTGTGGTTATGAAGAAAAATTTTTCACTATGTCTTACTTGGATCTCTCGTCGACTGCAGCTATTTGCAGCTGTAGCTGCTGCACTGCGCTGTTCAGTTCAGAACACAGCGACTGTCGAGTTAAAAACTAGTTAGTTAAATAATGTTAATTGCACTAAACTCTGCAATCAAATTTATGCGAAAATGAATCTTCGTAAATCTATACTATTAACATCAACGCAAATTTCACACATAATGAAATAAATTTTGCATTCATACTAACATACTAATCTATAATAATACTCTAAAATCATACCTCCATTGTGCTAACATCCAGTATTCCAGGACGACTGCAGGAAATAGAGCGAATTACGTCATAGGTACTCAAATTGCTGCAACGGGTAATATTTTCGGTCGATAAACTATATTAAAACGGTCGAGTTGACAAAAAAGCTAGCCATAAATTCGATCAAATCATTATTATTCCGTGCATACGTATTTATTAGAAAGATATAAAATGCTAAGAAAAAATGCATGACAAATAAATTACCTATTTCTTCAACGCCGACACTTCCATTCTATTCTATTCTTTAGGCTTGTTGGTTGACTTGGTTCCATTCCAGAAGCGCGGAATTCTCTCACTCTCTCCATCTTCAGTTATTACTAGGTTCATCAGATCAAATATTACCGGCACGCCCAACTTGCGCAAATTAAAATTCAATCGGAACGTCAGTTTTCATAGCTAAATGGATTAAAGTACTCTTTTAATGAGCGGTTACGTAATTTTGTGTTCCAAACAAACCGGAATTTTGGTAAGTTACTATTCTTTGTAGACATTGTAGTTTGCACCATTAAATATGTATATATATATATATATATAGTTGACTTTCTTGACGTAGTTGCCTAGTTGGTTCGTTCAGGTACTGCCGTTGGAGAGTGGAGACCGAACTGGAAGGCACACTCACATCACGCATGAAAACTGAAACACACAAGGAACACTTTCATGGTTCTATCATGCAGCCTGCAGGTACACACATTCATTTATGAGTGACTGTTGCTGCATTCAGTGCCACTGTGGTCACTGTGCCACGGTGCCAGTGGCTCCCCGCACAGGCGCACACTTTTCACGGTCATCCTGCAGCTGCAAATGTGCAGTCCTGACTCCTGTTGCTGTCTGTCCTGTGCGGTAGCTATTTGGAGGAGTAGGTTCTGTTCCATGAAATTAATTAGAAAGGGAGCATAAAGAACAAAGCTACATTTTGTCATAGATAGGTGTTTACTTCAAGAGCCTGCCATGTATGATGTAGGCCCTATAAAATGGTTGCTCACCGTTGCACTTGCAGTTGCAGTGATGGAAATATGTCTTAAATTTCCTAATCCAAATGAATGAAAGAATTTTTGCATGAACAGAAGTGAGTCTTTAAACAATTTTAACTTCATTCACAAGGTATATGGGCTGAAATTCCATGGTGCAGACTGCAGAGGGTGGATGCAGCATTGCCAATATATGGGTTTTTAAGCCCTAAGCGTTGCCGGGTAATTTTAAGATGCGTCGCCGGCGCCGGGTAATTTTTAATGTAAAGCCATTTATGCTGAGTAATGAAAAACTATTTACAAGCCACTAACTTATTTACAAGGTTGCATGCACGTGTTACCCCAAAAAGCCCAAATAACTAATTTTACCCTAAAAACAGCCCAATTGTACAGCAAGTGTCAACTGAACATGTGAAAATGCAGTCTGACCACTCTAATGTGACCGCAACTACGTAATCAACTAATCATAAACTTTGTTTACATTTTTTTGGTGGGAACTCATCGCAACTGATTTCCGGACAAGCTTCACTGCATACTGATCAATCCAACATACCGGAAACCTTACTTTTTTTAAATAGTTGGCCGAAGACTGACAAATATATTAAATGAAAGAATTTCAATCTAAATGTGTCAGCAAGATCTTCTGAAGGCATAAATTTTGCTACTGAAGCGTCGCCAAAGATCTTGCAATATTCATCCACTCTCTGCACAGTGGCTGAAATTGCCGGTGAACAAAAAATTTCTACACAATGACCTAACATTTTAAATGAACTTTGTTCTTGAACCCATTGCTTATGTTTAAAATAAAATACATTCCTCAATAGGCTGGTACGGTGGTACCATCACTACCACTACAGTACCATGGACCATAGATGCCACTATGCCAGGGTGCAGAGGGTGCAAGCAGCATAGCCAAGATATGTTTTTTTAGCCCAAAGCATTGCCAGCCATTTTTAAGATCTGTTGCAGGTAATTTTTAATAAAAAAGTGCTGTAAGCAACATTGATACTTGATAGTATATCTGTTGAATCTTGAATTGCTATGCAGGATCTACCCGACCTCAGTTCTCAATTCCCGTGTTCACAACAAGTTGAAACTCTTCTGCTTTGATCTGACTCCAAAAGATCTTGTTATAATAATTAGTCAGGCTAAGTCAGTCATCAATGATTCAAAACTGATTTACTCTGGTTATTTACTATATTTCACTCAAATTTTCAAGCTTCCAAAAAGTTGACCAATGAATTTATTTTGTTGCTTGCAATGTCAGCATCTTGCATCAGCGTGCCCAAATGAGGGCAAATAGACGGAACACGTCCAACGTTACATCCAACGACGACTCGGAGACGTAGGACGACGAAGGCGGCGCATCCGTGTGACCGTGGACTACGACGTCCTTAAGTCATCATAAGGTCATAAGGTTGAAATTTTGCCATCATGAAAATTGATTTTGACTGGAAATAAGAGCTACAGGCGATAAACTATCTACAAAATGCGCTGCTCTAAAAAATGTAGAGCTTACAAATAAAAATTGGGCTACCAAAGTATCTAACATAAAGGAGACACTACAAACTCAAACAATACAAACAAATGAAATTTAATATCCTTTACTATCCACGCATCACAACACTTACACACAGCGCAACTGATATCTGGACAAGCTTCACTGCATACTGATTCTTTTGGCTTACCGGAAACCTTACTGTGTGGCGTGTGCACTTGTGGTCTTTCAGATTTCCAGTATTTCAAAGTTATTTCTCATATGCAATAATTTATGAGGAGCATCTTGGTCCAAAAAAAAAAAATTTATTTACAGACGGATCACTTTGAAATTTAATACACATATGTAAAACGGATTTCTAAGACATTTTGTTCCTGTGAATTTAAAAAAAAAAATGAAAGAAAGGTGAAATTCTTAGGAAATGGCCAATAAAGGGGGTACCGTAAATTGGGATAACTTTGACCACTTTTTTTTCAAAACAATGCCATTTTTTACTAGATAAGTTAAACTTGAATTGAAACATGCAAAATACAGGTCTATACTCTAGCTCAGTGGTTCCCAAAGTGGGCGATATCGCCCCCTTAGGGGCGGTGGAAAGATTTTGGGGGGCGATAAGGAAGAAGAGAGCAGTAGGGGGGCGATATAGGGGGCGGCTGTCCGAAGTCAATGTCAGAGGTTCGAGCATTTGTTAGACGATTTGTACACAACATGTGCAGCACATGACTCCCAGCGATGGTTTTTTCTGTTTTTTTTAACCTAGCTCTCCTGGATTTACGTCTCAGACAAATTAACGGCCGGACTCGAGGCCGGTGTCACGGCCAATTTCCAAATTCTATGATCAAGGAATATCTCTCGAACTAATGAACTTAACTCGATGAAACTTGGTACACGTATTCATTAGGATCTAACTGTAATGTTTTGCTCGTGAAAATTTGAATTTTGCCATCATTCGTTTTTGCCATACTTATACGGGAAGAAATTCACAATGATCAAGCAATTTCTTTCAAACTATTGAACGGATTCGAACGAAATTTTGAATTTACAGTACTAACTAAAAATTTTTTGATTGTGCCTTCGTTCGCGAGTTTTTTTTTTCATTTCACCTTCATTCGTGATTTAAACAGCAATTTGTGCTTAAATTTGCAGTAATCAAGAAATTTTTCCAAACTACTGAACAGATTTGAACGAAACTCAGTATTTAAATACCTAAACCTCAGCAACGGTGATGTTTACATTTTTTTTGCCTTCGTTTGCGAGTTATATGGCTATACGTATACTGATTCTGATTTATAGATGCCATCGATCGACCGGTAGAAAAGCTGGTCGTTCCTACTATATCTGTATAACTCGCAAACAAAAGCAAAATGGAAAAATTGTCACGAGCTAAACATCACTGTTGAGAGGTTATGTATTTTTATACAAAGTTTCGTTTAAATCTGTTCTGTATTTTAGAAGAAATTTCTTGATCGCCGCGAATTTAAGCGACAAATTACCCGGCGATACGGGCCGAATATAAGGAAGTTTGAAATCAAGAATGCCGATGAAATGAAAAAACTCACAAACAAAGGTAAAATCGAAAAAAATTATAAGCTAAAAAATCACCGCTTGGTAGTTAGGAATGTATATTCAAAATTTCGTTCAAATCTGTTCAATAGTTTGGAAGAAATTCTTTGATCAATGCGAATTTTGGCCTGTTTCGCAATACCTATACGCGCAACTCACAAATGAAGGTGAAATTTAAAAAAATTTACGAGCTAAACATCACCGTTAGGTTCTGATGAATGCGTGTTCCAAGTTTCATAGAGCTGCGTTCATTTGTTTGGGAGATCTTTTCTTGATAATTGAATTTGAAAATTGGTCGTGGGACCGGCCACGAGTCCGGCCGTAAATTTGCCCGCGACGTCCTTGGCTTTTAGTGCTGAAACAATTAAAACAGCTGAAAAACATATTGGTTCACTAAATGGGATTCTATTTGTGAAATACACATTTGTGTTTAACCTTAATCTTTTAAAATTTCAGCGTACTAAATTTCAAGAAAGTGGCGTATGTCTGTGGGGGGCGCTAGAAAGTCACTAGGGAGCCAAAGGGGGCGCCAGCCTGAAAAAGTTTGGGAACCACTGCTATAGCTTTACTCACCATAAATTGCTGGCTCCTGCCTCTCATAGTTTTGATGTAATTTCAAAAGAAGTGATGGTCTCTGTTACCCCAGCTCTTGGGGTTTCTTTGACCAGGTGGTAAAATCAATTTTATTTTTTGGTAAAATAACTCCAAATAACTCCAGGATGTGGTGCATTGTAGTAGAACTCTTCTAGTTACATATGCAAAAGACAGATTTTAGGAAAGTGTCATAGTTTGCAAATGGGGGGTGCTGCCCCCAATGGGCGAAATGTGACCACCTAATGGCAGCTGTGACGGGGTAACATTGACCGGTTTGGAAATTAAGTTAAAATTACCATATATAAGACTGTAGAGTCTGAAACATGAAGAAAAAAACATTAATAGGTGTATCAAACATAAAATATGTTATATAGGTACCTATGGTAATTTTAACTTAATTTCCAAGCCGGTCAATGTTACCCTGTCACGGCTGCCATCAGGTGGTCAAAGTTACCCGTTGGGGGACGGCGCCCCCCATTTGCAAACTATGACACTTTCCTAAAATTTGTCTTTTGCATATGTAACTAGAAGAGTTCTACTACAATGCATCGAAACCTGGAGTTATTTTACCAAAAAATGAAAAAAATTGGAGGGGGTACTCCGACAGGCTTTGAATAATAGCTCTTTTTTGTGGGTCACATTATTATTTTTCAACCTATTAGATATGCAAACTTTTTAAATCTTTCTATTGTGTTATGTAGCCTCAGTATTAGGCCTTTGATGGCCATTGACAAAATTTTTCTATGTCAAATCGTTTTTGAGTTTTGAGGGTTTTTGTTAAAAAAACGAAAAGTGGTCAAAGTTACCCCACCGGTCAAAGTTACCCCATTTTACGGTACTGTA